GCGGGGCTGGCAGCGCCACCCCTCGCCTTGCAGGGAAGCCGGGCGGGGCTGCGCCACCTGCCCCCGGCACCCGCTCTCGCCCCCCCGGGCTCACGTGTTGCGTCTGCGCCCGCTGAAATTCTGCCCAAGGAAACCGCATTTTACAAAAGAAATATTTTTGTTGTCAGGGGAAATGCGAGCCGCTCGCCCCCCGCCCCGGGTTTCTCCCCGGCTGTCACTGCGAGCCCGGCCGGCGGAGCCCCGCTCCCATTCCTGCCGCACAGGATCAAAGGCAGGATCCTGCCTGGATGCTTCGCTGTTGAATAATGGGAGGGAGCAGAAAGCCTGCTGTCCTGGCTAAGGAAAGCCGGGTTTTCAGTGTCGGCTCTTGTCAGCTCCCTTGGACAAGGGCGAGCTAGAGGCGAGTGCCTGCTCTTCCCGTGCAAGCGCATCAATCACCGGCTTGGAGTGCTGGACTCCGCTCCTCGCCTCTCACATCATTAGCCAGGCTAATGCACTCCAGAGAATCCCGTTAATGCAGGCTACTGGCATCCACAACCGAGCTGTGGCCATTTGAACCGGGGGAGGGAGGGAGGGAGGGAGGGAGGGGGCGAGAGAAATTAAAGATCGTTTGTTCATACAGCGGATTAGCAGAAGTGGTCATTGAAATGAAGCTTAGCGAGAAGGGCAGATGCTTTCCAAAGCAAGTGACACAACTCTCTGGCTTGGGGATCATTTTAATAAGACTAAAACTACAGGAAAAAGTGAAGCCCCTTTCCAAAACTGCCTGGCACTCTGAGGTCAACACGCCTCCTTTGTTTCTTTCTTTCTTTACAACCAAAAGGGAGAGAAGAGAGAAAGGACACATACCTGTACCTGAAAGCACAGCAGCAGGAAATGTAAACATCTGGAGAGGAGAAAAAAAAAAGCAACAACAGATCAAATGGTGCGGTGAAATGGTTAAAGTTTTTTGTTTGTTTAGATTTTTTTTTAATATAGATCGAGGCTTTGCTCAGAAAAGGCTCGGGTCTCAGTGACCACCTGATTGCAAGGGAAATGCAACCGAGCCTGAAAAAGGAAAGTTGGGAAAAAAATAAAAATATGTCATAATCCTTACAAGCAAGTGCAGGCTGAGAGCAGTGAATACATCGCTGGGTGAGGAGAGGGGGGAGGTCAGTGGCTTCAAGTTAACGGAGTAAAATCCCCAACCGCAGCCTTGACATGGGAATGATCCAGTTATAAAACCCAGCAGATTTCCAGCGATCTCGCTTCGCGCTGATAAACAAAGATGAGAAGTTGAGATACTGCCTGCTTTGCCTCCTCCGAGTGACTCCCTTAGACATCAGATCTCCTCTTCCCCCTGTCTCTCCTCCTCCTCCTCCTCTCTCTCTCTCTCTCTCCGCCTTTGGAGAGATGAAGGTGCTTATTGTCAGTAACTTCCGATCATCAGCAAATAACCCCCCTTGCCTCCCCCTCCCCTCTTCTCCTAAGGACCCAGCCCTGCGAGGAGGATAAAGCCTTTTTCCTGGACTCGGCTTCCCAGACAGAGGCGCAACAGCAGCAGCGGCAGCAGAGCTAATATTTGCTTAAGGTTATGATGGCTGGCGTTTGCCCTCTGATCCCCTTCCTTGTGATGGATCCCTCGGTGTCTGGCAGGTTATTTCAGTGGGAGCATGACGGGATGTAGCTCACAGGTCTCCTCCACCGCGGTGCAGGTTCCTGCAGAGGTCAGAGCGGGGGGTGGGGACGCCGGGCTCATGTGCGCCCTGCGCAGCTAGCGGCCGGCCGGCGGGGGGGCCCCGGCGCACACAATGCGGGAGGGAAGCTTCAGCCCTGGTCTCTCGCCTCCTGCGGGCTCATGTTTCCTGCTCTCCGCGGCTCCTTCCCTCCGCATCGCCCCCGCGGCACCGCAGCGGCCCCGAGGCTTCCGATCAGGGCAGCGCCGCCCCGGCCGAGGGATGGAGGCCGCGGCGATCGGCGCGCCCGGCTCAGGCGGACCCGCG